AAAAAAAAAAAAAAATATCTCTCGATTCGCTGTTCACCCTCGCAACGCGCGACCTCCTCGAGGAACAGGAGTGGCTGGAATAACCGTAATCCACCCTCGCGGATCCCCCATTGCCCCGCTTGTTGTCAATCAACGTTGCATTATTCATCCCGTGGACCGAATTTATGAGTCGCGAATTGCCTCGGTTGTAATCTCGAAATCCGTTTAATCGATTTCTTCTCGTCGAATGCGAGAGGGTAGACAGTACGATTAATCCTGTCCGCTTTTAATCGATTCTTTTTGTTTCTTTTTTTTTTTTATTTTAGCTGGATAGCATAATAGCGTTGGAAAATGAGAGAGAGAGAGAAATTTCGATTCTTTTTTTGGAGAGACACGCAGGAAGGAGATACAATTGGGGGGAGAGAATTCCCCACCCAAAGCGAAACGTCAGATTTTGTCATCACCTCGTTATAATTGGAATTCTTCTTTTCACGTGAGAGCGGGAATACTGGAGATATGAATTCGAAAGAAAACGGTTTATTTATCGGTTCGTTATTTATATTGTTGTTATTGCAGAGGAAACGATTCGAAAGAAAGAGAGTTGGATCTTGATTAATGGACAGATATTTCGATATTACTGAAAAATGTCAATTGAAATTTATTTATTTAAAGGGATCAAAGAAACTTCTTGAACGCAATTAACGACTAAGAAAATATGATAATCTATTCTCTTTATTAAAAATTCAATAGAAAAGTATAATAAAATATATGCTTATGAGATTACTTAAAAGAATCAAAAAAATCTTTTGAACGTAATTAAACGATTAATTATAACTAATTGTAATTATAATTGAAACAAATAAGTATACAAAAACCCTTGAGAGAGAGAGAGAGAGAAATATGGATATCAGGGACAAAGAAATGAGAATAAGAATGAAGGAAGATCCGGCATTCTATATTTTCCTCCGCTATCCCTGATACTTGCTTGTAAGCAACGGTCTCGAGAAACCACCCTCCCCCAAACCTTTCCACGAGTGCACGCCACCGAAACTTCGTTCCGTTCCCAGCTTTCCCGGCCGTGTTTCTTTTTCTCCCCTTCCCTCCCCCGAGCGAAACTTTATCCGGCAAAGCAGCAGGAAAAGTTGAAATGGATGCAGACTTCCATTGGAAGGACGAGGCGTCCTCTTGTTGACCCAAGATTTGTATTTTTAAACTTCAACCCCTTTCGCCACCTCTAATCGAGCGAGCCGAAAACTTCTTATATAATTTGTACGTTGGTGATTTAGAGCGATCGTTGCGTTATCTTCGCTCTTGCGCTTTTGGAGGAAATCGGAGGAAAGTTGGGGGAGGGAAAGAAAGGATAATTTTGCCGTTTAATTTAAACTTGAATCAACTTTCACTGGTCTACTGTAATGGAACTTTTGCGATTTCCGCATTTTTGTTTAGAAAGCAAAAACAATCGTCGTCCTAACTTTCGGGAGGTCCGATGAATCCAGGGAGAAAAATAAAGACGAAATTGCAAAGACAATTTCCAAACTTCAAGCCGGTGTTCAATTCAAAATTGAATTCTTCTTTAATTTCAATTTCAATAATTCAAACAATTGTAAATTCGGAAAACTTGTTTGAACTCGAAAACTAAATAAAATCGCTAAAAAAAAAATCATCCATACGATAAAAACTCTGAAATTCTATTTCTCAAAACCATCGATCATCTCCAACTTACCAACGTACAATGAACAACCGTTAACGAAACTGATATATCATGATCCCGATCGACTGTCTAACCAAAGAAAAAAAAAAGAGAGAGAAAAAACCATGCTCCAAAAGGAAAGAATAGTTGTTCCTCGTTTCCAAAAAAAAAAAGAAAAGTCTCATCCAAACTCGCGAAAACCGCGAAACCGTTGCGAATTCCCGAAATAACCGGGGGGACGAACTTTTATAATCCGTCGAAATTCTTGGCAGAGATTCCATCGCCGGGAAAAAGCAGCACCGTGTTGTTGTTTGTTGGCTCGTTGATATTTGAAAAGAGAAGGGACAGCCAGCTTCTCGTCAGAAATTCCTTTCGCGGAAAACCTTCGATAAAACCTGTGCCGCGGGGCATAGAACGGTTTTTTCTTTCTTTCTTTCTTTCTTTCTTTCTTTCTTTCTCTTTTCCAAGCCGCGCAAAAAAAGCCGCCACGCGTTTTTTCAGGCTCGCGTCGTCCGAAGCGCGGTTCGATTTGAAGTGTGTTAATTCGACGTGACGGGGGCCGGGGGCCAATCGATCCGCACGGCTGGAATTAATGCGGCGTGTCCGGCAGATGTTTCGCGAAAAATTTCCGCGTCACACCGCTTCGGCTTTGCCTCGATTCGCGTGGACGAGTTCGTGGATCGATTTCGGTGTTGTTTGTCGCGCGAATTAAACTGTGTGAGAGTGAAAAATAGAGAGAGAGAGAGAGAGAGAGAGTAATTCTCGTGTTGGATGGATTTTTAAATAGGTAAATAATGGATGGGAGGCGAAAAGGAATGATGTCTTTTGAAGATGCACGGGGATGAGGATGTGTATTGGGTTGTTTAGGGAATGAATTAGCCTGATGTATTTTTCTTTATTGGGAAATGGGATTTTAGATGTAGGTGATGGAGTAGTAGGTTTTTTTTATAAATGATGGAAATTTGAGTAATATATATTCGAGTGAAAAGAAATATTCTATGTGCCATTCTTAAGATGCACATGTGTGAAGATTTTCGAATTCGCATTAGAAGAGATGAGTTATTCGAATTCTGAATAACTCAATATTGAAAAGTTTGATACTTATTGTTTTATGGAGAATAATATAATAACAAGAGGATTAACAAGAGGATTAGAAAAAGGAGAATTCAATGAGAAGAATTAATCAAATCACAAAGTTGCAAATTTGTGCCTGCTGGATGCGAGCTAAATTAACGAATCGATGAGAAAACAAAAGATTTTTTATAGATACGGTATGAAAATAAGATACATCGTAAATTGAAAACTAGCTATTTTTCAGCTGATCAAGCGAAATATATGTATGTATATTTTACGTATATATAAAAAATCGATATCGATCGTTAATTAGAAAAACCAACGTGCATAAACAACCCCCTAAAAATGGGTCAATTGAGTTTCAATAATTGATAACGGTTAATTGCGCGAGGATCAGAGAAGCGGCAGGATTTTTCAAACCGACTTTCCGCTGCTGGTAAACGTTCGAGTGTTTGATTTGCAGATTACTCAGGAACGGTTGCCACGAGAATCAGGACAGTTTACCGTGTCACGAATCTTCCATCAAGCCGAGTAAACCGTACCACTCGTTACAAATCCAACCCTCCATCCTTCTACCCTTCTAGACCCGTTTAGAAATCCTCCCTCTTGAATGCTTATGCGCATTTTTCCAATCTTTCTGAAATAAAAATAACGATTCCAAAATTCTTATTTCCTCTTCCTATCGAAATCAAAATCTTTCTGCATTTCAATCACACGCCATCTTGCTAAACAATTTTCGTTTAGCTAAACAACTTTCGTTAACCCTCTCGATCAATTGCACTTACATTTACGCAATATGGCTGATGATACTTTAAGCTTAAAATCCTTCTCTTCTCTCGAGGAAAATTTTTATACTCTCATTCGATACGAAGAGACGACCCCTTTTCAAATAAAAAATCGTAAACATTCCCCTCTCTTCCTGTTTCAATGGCAAGCTTCCACCCTGCCTAATCAACCCCTCCCTTCTTATGAAACTTCTACTGCTTCCTGATCGGTGGCGGGATTAATTCGAAGGAGAAAAAGTCATTACCAAGCAGGTGACCGATTATATCCGATAGCCTGCCGATTTCCTATTCGAAATCTTGCGTATCGAACGATGGAATGAAGACGGAATTGTAACGATATATTTATATATTTATATATATCTGACGATGTGGAAAACGTATTTACAATGTTTATGCTTTAAAGTATCCGATCCCCTGCCGATTTCCGATTCGAAATCTTGCGTATCGAACGATGGAAGGAAGACGGAATTGTAACGATATATTTAGATATTTATATATATCTGGCGATTTGGAAAACTTAGTTACAATGTTTATACTTTAAAGTATCCGATACCCTGCCGATTTCCTATTCGAAATCTTGCGTATCGAATGATAAAACAATGAATATGAAGGCGGAATTGTAACGATATATTTATATATTTATATATATCCGACGATGTGGAAAACGTATTTACAATGTTTATATTTTAAAGTATCCGATACCCTGCCGATTTCCTATTCAAAATCTTGCGTATCGAACAATGAATATGAAGACGGAATTGTAACGATATATTTATATATTTCCATATATCCAACGATGTGAAAAACGTATTTACAATGTTTATACTTTAAAGTATCCGATACCCTGCCGATTTCCTATTCGAAATCTTGCGTATCGAACGATAGAACAATGAATATGAAGACGGAATTGTAACGATATATTTATATATTTATATATATCCGACGATGTGAAAAACGTATTTACAATGTTTATACTTTAAAGTATCCGATACCCTGCCGATTTCCTATTCGAAATCTTGCGTATCGAACGATAGAACAATGAATATGAAGACGGAATTGTAACGATATATTTATATATTTATATATATCTGACGATGTGGAAAACGTATTTATAATGTTTACTTTAAAGATACGAGAAATTGTACGAAGAAATTTCCACCTGTTTCTTCATTCTTCTATATATATAGTAAAAGTCCGAATTTCGCTTCTTCGAACGATTTATCAGTAAGACCAACGATTCCACGGATGGAAGGATCTCCGAAATTTATGAATGGGACTCGAGGATCAGGGGGAGGAAGTTGGGAACGAGGAGAGGCGATAATATTTTCAGAGAGATGCCGATTCATTGCGGGGAGAGGGAAATTGGTCAAAGGGATGATGAATCGTGATCGAAAGGACTCGATAATGAGCATTTGAAAAAAATTTGGGAAAAATTGAGAGGTGATTGTTTGGGTATAAAGAGAAGCAAGCTAGCTTTGTTTATTGTTTTGAGAGTCGGGGAAATTTCAGAATATCTAAGATGAGACTTCAGATCGATGTTTAAAAGGAGATTGTTATTCCTTCTAAATCATAAAAAGAGAGAAAAAGATTACAAGTTGTGGAATAGATCGTGATTAAAACCCTCTTAGAATGATCTCTTTTTATCGTTTCCTCTTCAGATTCTTTCTGTATTCTATTTTTAAAAATAGAGGAGGAAAAAAGAATTGGCGAATCACGGAGCGGCGATAAATCCTAATTAAAACTCGCTCGCGATAATAATCTCTCTCTCTCTCTCTTTTTCTATTTATTCCAAAAAAGGAAGAAATGGAGGAGGAGCCGCGTGAAAAGCCGCGTGTACACACAAGCTTAGGGTCATAAAGGTCCCATTTTTCCGAGGAATCCAGGTTGTGGCACCCGTTGAGAAGCACCGCCGCCGCCCATCTCCACGATCCTCGTTAACGCGAGAACAAAAGATTGATTACCCCAGTTGTGTATCGCGTCTTCCATCCACCGATGTTGCGAAATCCGCCAATTTTTTTTTTTTTTATCAATGGAAAAAACTTTCACCGCTAAAAACAGATCCCGAATAATTCAATCCTCATTTCCATTCTATACCCTTGATCAAATAACGATTACTTTGCAATCGATTCGAGGGATCGAGATCATCAGGTGACTTGATAAAGGGATTGAGATTGAGCTTGTCGTCGGAACAAGATAAGAAAAAGATAAGAAATCTTTATAAAAACAGGTTCGTGATGAAGATTTAAGTTCAATGGAGATACAGGAAAGATACGAATAATGATAAAGGGAACGATGATATTCAAGTTGCAATTCTGATACGCGTCGACTTTTGCACGAACGTTTCCTCCCCTCCGTCATAGCGCATATGTCATTAATGGAGGGGGAGGGAGCTCGACGTAGTCTCATTAGTTTGAAGGAGGAACGCGCACAATGCTCGTTGATGCGTCTGTTGACCTCGCGAAACCCTCCCGAGTGTTATCGAACTTAGCACAACGACGACACGCCCTCTCGTTGCCTGTCCAAAGCTTCACGCATTACGCCATCGCCCATTAGATCCGAGGATGGTTCGTCAACGAGCGACGGACGGATGGGACGTTCTCTGAGCGGAATTCGATTAAATCTCGTGTTCTTGAATTTTTTTCCTTTTCACGAGTATTGTTTAATAATAAGAGAAAACGTAGATTCTCTTCGAAAGGAGATCGTTACGATGGAAAATAATAAATTAGTCTACGAATTTGCCGCTCACACTTATATAATTCCAGAGACGTTACATTTGGGAGTTGACAATTCCTCTTCGATCCTCTTCGATTCCTTCTTCGAGATTAAAATCTTGAGAAATCTTTTAAACGGAGATGCGGAGAAGTTGGTCGTAAAAAGTCAGAGGTCGTAACCGGAAAGAAACTTGGTGGCTCGGATATTTACATTTCGCGAGGCGGAACTCGATGGAATTGTTGATCTTTTAGCTTTCAATAATCGACCCGAAATGGGGAAATGGAGAACGGGGGAGGAAGAGAGAAATGGAGAGAAGAAAAATGAGAGGAGAACGACGAGATGTTCCGAAATTATTCTCGGTTTTATTAATATTCTCGAGTTGGAAAATAATTCAAGGGTTTTTCTACGTACACACGCATGAAAGTGTTTATCGTGGTGGGAAAGAAAAAAAAATGGAAACGGAATACGGCTGCTAGAAGCTTCGTTTTATCGGGCAACGCGAGCGCGATGAAGTGTTTAATTGAAAAGCGCTCGTATTGAAGTTCGAATACGCATACCGCAATATCAATTGCCCTGTCCACGCGTGGACACGC